CGAGGCTGCGCCCGGGGCGGGAGGAAGCGCGTGTGCGTCGCTGTGTGCCCTTGGGGGGTGTGCGGGGGGAGCGGGGCTGCAGGAGAACTGTGTGCCTAGGCGTGCGTGTGCAGGTGTGAGGTGTGGGGTATTGCGCGCGCGTGTGTGTGTGTGCATGCAGGCATGAAGGGGTGTGTGCGTGCAGGTGTGAGGGGTGCATGTTCAAGTATGAGGCTTGTGCGTGTGCATGCTGGTGCGAGAGGATATTTGTGTGCATTCCCACAGGTCTGAGGAAGTGTGTGTGTGTGCACACTAGCACAAGTAAGGGGCAGGGGGTGCATCGGCATTTGCACGCAGATGCAGGGTGATGCGTGTCCATGCAGATATGAGGAGGAGCGCAAGCATGCCCACACGGATGCAGGGGGTATGCACATGCGGACACACAGATGCAGGGCACCCATGCACGCAGATGCAAGGGGATACACACACTTGCACAGAGGCATGGGGAGGACGCACACCCGTGCACGCCAGAGCAGGGAAGAAGCACAGCGACACACACAGGTGCAGGGTTCTGCACACACAAGCACACAGGTGCAGGGGGATGCAGACACATGCACACAGGTGCAGGGAGGGTACACACACAAGCAGATAGGTGCAGAGTGGTGCACATACGCACACAGGTGCAGGAGGATGCACACACAGGTGCAGGAGGATGCACACACAGGTGCACACAGGTGCAGGAGGATGCACACACATGCACACGGATGCAGGGTGGTGCACACACGCACACAGGTGCAGGGTGGGTGCACATACAGGTGCACACAGGTGCAGGGTGGGTGCACACACACACACACAGGTGCAGGAGGATGCACACACATGCACACAGGTGCAGGGTGGTGCACATACAGGTGCACACAGGTGCAGGGTGATGCACACACACGCGCACACGGGTGCAGGGGGAAGCACACACACACGCACACGGGTGCAGGGGGATGCCCATGGCTGCCCACGCATGAAGGAGGGCTGCAGCGGGGAAGCAGAGGCATGCACTCCGGTGAAGGGAGGGACGCACATGCA